TTACATTCCGATACTTTAATTAATCATATAAATTATATAGTTTGAATAATTTGTAAATAGCAATTTTATCATTTATACTAGAATTTGTAACAATTACGTGTTAATTCAGTTCCCTGAACTGCAAGAGAGTACTAATAAACTATTATTATTATTATTTGGTTCGACGTATGAATTAACGCCGCACAGAATGTATGTGGATCGATTCCAATTGACTATTTGGTTTAGCGCGACGATAGCACGACGTATGAACCAGGCTTAACTGTCTCTTGGTTTTCCTGTGTATCAGTCTGTCTGTCTGCACTTCTTAACTGAATACAGCTTTGAAGAACCAAATTTAGAAATTCAAATCAGCACTGAGATTACTGGGAATCTGAGATCTTTAAAGGTGGGTGGATGTGTGTGTGTGTGATCATCAAGTTAAATATAAGATGACTGAGAAAAAATGGATGGGAATTTTGTTCCTATTATTTGACATCTTTTATTTCTTTACTACTTTCCACAGCCGGAAGGAAATCTTTTGACAGACCGATTCAAAAGTTTGCAAAAGAGAAATATCGTMGAGAGTCGTAAACCTGTTGTGTAAGTACAAATCATATTTCATTCCACATTGTTGTCGTGACGATTGAAGGAACAACGGAAAATCACTATGGTAACTGGCCGTATCTTTTGTTTGGATACCCTTCCCTAGTTACAAAAACTAAGTTTTTTAGTTTGACGTTCACCTTATGTGCTGACTSAGGTCGTTTACGAATATTTGTTGCCATAATTGCTTGACACTCACAATCATTTTTATTTATTGATATTTTAATATACATGTCTAACTGTTTTACAGACCTCATCGAAAATACGCTCTGAAAGAATACGACAAACGATCATACAAGCAAAAATGCATCAAAGAAATTTAAGGTAGTGTTTTTTTATTATTATTAATATACTCGTTTCGGCCGTTGACAGGWAAAAAATGATTTTTTTTAGATAACCACTCAGCTCAAGAACATCGTCTTCGCTGTCTGTAGAGCTTCGGCTTAACGTCGGCTTCACTTTCGGGCTTCCCTCGTCAGGTTTTCGTCCAAATCCATACCGAGTCGAGCGACCTACTTCCAAACATCGAAGTCCCTCTCGGGCCTTTTTAAAATTAACAAATTGAGGCTAAGGCAATCGAACTATTATCGAATTTGCTCTCGGATAATCGTTTATCAATCTAATTCGGCATCAATCTAATTCGAGCCTCGTAGGACATTCGGGCGTCACTCGTTCGACTATCGACTATATTCGGGTGTTTTTACGGTGTTAAATTAGACGACTATTAAAATTCCGGCTCTCACTCCAAATCCCGAAACGTTTTTAACCATCTTTTATGATTCATATACACATTGAAAGAAATGGGAAGATTTAGTTTTTTTCTTTATTTGTTAGAATTTCAACAGACTGAATATTGGCTATTAATTGTGAAAATCTATATTTACATTGTCCTATAAAACTAAAAATAGGAAATAAAAATATTGTAGCTGTATGTTTGAAGCTAAAATATAGTTTACCTGAGTCGTCTCCAAATTTAAGAAAGTTGCCTTTTTGAAAGTCAGTTAAACGTTAGTAGCTTGCGTATACGTAGACAATGAACGCGAAAAGTTAACGTTTACGTCGSGGAGCACGCAGGCTGTGTATGGAGAGACTGCGACTAAGGATCATGCGATCATTGCGGTATAGAATTGGTGACAGTTTCTATTGGTCTTTTTTACCAACTACGTTTCAACTGATGCCTACGCTGAATGGTGCTTTCCGTAATGACGTCATGCGATGTTCGGCGAGGTGCACCATGGGATTGATCAAATTACAACTGAGGCTATGTTAGTGTGTTCAGGCTGTTATGACAGGTCTTTGAGTATACTCAAGTGTGTTTTCGTCTCATCAAGTGACTTTAATCTTTTTWGCATCCTCGACAACGGACAACTTAAATTTTGCAAAGAAACTCCGTCTTCTCTTGTTTTTATTATCCGCCATTTTGATACTTTGCTCAATACCATGATGCACTTCGGCGAAGAGAAATACGCAACTTCCTGTAAGATATTCAAGAGCATGACGCATGCTACAAACATACGATTGGACAGCTAGTATAGAGCTCAATGGAGGGGTGTCCCCCCTCCCTCACCCTTCGATATGCTATCATACTTTTTCAATTTTTTTTATTTGCCATAAGTCTGAGTTTAATTGTTTCAGTTTTCGGATCAGTACTTAATCTTAGGACTTTCTCGCATTTAGAGGACTAAAGCTGGCCGCCAGAAAAATGTTTTTTTTCTTTTGTCTACGCGTATAAATGAACAAAATCTTTAAAGAGGTTAGACCAGATGCTCTGACAGTTGAGGGGAAGGGATCGAGGGAGGCGTGCCCCTCCTCTTTCCCCACTTTACAATTCAGTCATAACGTTGAAGCGCATCAGAGCTATTTCAAATATTTTTGAAATCAAACTTTGACATCAATCGGTGAAATTTTTTTGCTGTATACAGGATTATTGGCATGTTGATAAGCAYCATCAACAGCACTATTGACGTTTGTGAACTTTCTAGAACTTCAATTTTATGGATATAAACACGGTTCGTGCTACTCCTTGAAGTCCTTGAAAAGTCCTGGAATTGAAAACTCGCTTTTAAGGGCACTTGAAAATGGGGAACATCACTAAAATTCCTGGAAAACTCCTTGAATCTGATAAGATTGACATGTTCCTTGTTAGCTTTTGGAYTGAATGTKGCTATTTTTGAAAATCGCCACTTGAAACGTCCGCAAACATCAAAAAATATTCAAGAATACTCCTTGAAAATCTCATTTTTGTGCTTAAAAAGTACTTGAAAAGTCCTGGAATTTTGTAGTGAAAATGTAGCACGAACCCCTTTATAATATACTGAATGGAAAAGGCTGCTTACTGCTGCTCCACTCGCCATTGGTGATGGATTAAACGCAAGCGCACAAAAATATCGCCTTACGTTAATCAAGTTCTTGCGGAAATCGGGCCGATGCATGAATCGTGTACTGATATAGCTAGGCATTAATAACTCTACGTTGTCGTGTAACGTCTGAATGCCCCGCCATCGCTACAATTCAGTGAGTAGTTGTTATTCAGCGTGATGTTATGTAACGGGTTATTTAACAAGTTCACTCCCCGTGGTGTACCGCAGGGGACATTTATGGGACCCACGCTATCTTCACAACCGCTATGTTCATCGCTGTTCGTTTGTATTGGTGGATTGTCGTGAAATTGGCAAATTAAATCCGTYTGGCTACTTCTATCAACAGTCTCGACAACTTTCTTATGAATATTCTCTTCYGAAGGAGAAGATATYGATATAAATGGTGCGTTTGAGCAGGTCGGARTATCGTACGAAGGTTTTTTRGTCAGTCCAGGATCGCTTCCTCTGTTCAACACTGGTGTACTGACCACGTAAGGTTTGACGTTGCATAGCAACGGTGTCAGCGGCGTCGTGTCATCTGCACTGTGCACGTGACCTTGGGAACTCATAGAAGAACAAGAGCAAGCTCTATCTGGGATCAAAGTTTGAATTGAACGAAGATTTTGGACACTAAGACTGTTTCCAGACAAGAAGATAATAGGTCGCGTGACACTTAAATGATCACCGCTTTTGAAAACGTTATTGTAACTTGAATTAGAAGAATTACTCTTAAGACTCATAGAAGCTGGGGTCACGGCTCCCCTCCTGACGTACAACGGGTACGTTGGGCAAATGTTTAAAGAAATGTTACTAAAATACACATTTGTACTCTTTGCGTTTGCTTTTTCCTCTTTTTCCTCTTTCTTGGCTTTGGATGAAACATCAAGAACTGAGGATTGTGTTTGAGCCTTGTCTTCTTTAGGCGTCGACAGATACTGATCAGAGATTGATTTTTGACCCTCATTGTACTGGAAGTGAGGCGAATTTCCCATAGTCTCCGGTAGCAATGAGTTGAGAGACTTCGTGTTAGTGGGGCTAACCTGCAAAGATAATGACTGTTGGGAGTTATAAGAGTTCGCCAAACTTCCATGGTAACTTGATAAGACGTTCAAGGAGTTATCCGATGCGTTGAAAGTCCTCTGTGTGTTTCGTCTCTCGCTGGATAGGGAGGTGTTGTTGATACTGTGGTTTCTAGTGGAGTCTTTTGGTGCTTGCATGGTTGTAATTGCATGAGACAAGGCAACTCTGCGGGTCTTTCGTGGGATGTTAAGCCTTGCCTTTGCATAGGTGTAGAAGATAGAAAAGTTGCTTCCTACTACTGACACTGGAAGAGCAATGACCAGCACACCAAATATGGCACAGGCGCTGCCAACGATCTTTCCCATCCAGGTCTTGGGTGATACATCACCATAGCCTACCTGTGAATGAGAACCAGACTATGAATGCAACTACTTTGTCAGGAACGGCGTTTATTTGTGTGTGTGTGTGTGTGGGGGGGGGGGGGGGGGGGGGGGGGGGGTTAGGTTTAGGGAGGAGGGATCGAGGGGCTGTCGTATCGAAACTCGAAAAAGAGCAATGATTTGGAATCAAGGGTATAGTGATACTTCATGATATACCTTTGGCAACTTCTGGTTGGGTGCAGATGGGGAGTGAGGGAGGGGGGTCATTGTAGGTCTCATGACCACACCCTATCATCTACGACAAAATCAATATTCCAGAAATATGGAAATTCCCTTCAGAACTTAAATACATACCGTTGTCATGGTGATTATTGCCCACCACATCGTTTCCGGGACGCTGTGAAAGTCGGTTGTCTTTTCGTCCTTCTCGATAAAGTAAAGAATACTAGAAAACACAGCCGTTTGGAATGCCATGATAACGAGTAGAACGCACAACTCTCGAAGACTGGCTGTCAGCGTATTAACTAAGACTTGCATGACATATGACAGTTTAAAGAGCTGGAAGATGCGAACAGCTTTTAACATGACAAACATTTCAAACGGCAGTACCCATGATGTGTGTCTAAGGAAGAGAGACGCGTACATTGGAGCGAGAGAAATTATATCAATCCAGGTGCAGATGCTTTTGAAGAAAGACTTCTTTGACGGCGAAAAAATTGTGCGTAATAGAAGATCAATCGTGAACCAAGCAAGGCACAGGACGTGGATAAGAAACGTGACGAGATAAGCTGTTGCGTTACTGTCTTCAAAACTCTTTAATGTAGAGAGGGAAAACTTGGTGAGGTACAGCGCAAAGACAATGAAAGATATGATGGCAACGAACTGAAAGAGATATAGCATCATATACACTATTAGTAAAAGTCTATTCTCGCCCGGTTATTATTAGTATAGGTTGATAGTTTTTTTTCCCACAGACTAAGCAAGTGATTCAAACGTCAAACTCAGCATGTTTTCTAGTGATTAAAACGTCAAAGTCAGCACGCTTTCTCTATTTTTCTAGGTATAATTTTTAGCTTCTTCACAATGTTTTATACTAATGTGAAAGGACTGTTAAAATGTGTCCATCTATTAATTTACGCAACCTTAACTGCGATATTTAAATCATCTTAACAGCAAGACAATACAAACATGATTATTTTCCTCGATCTTTTTTTATTCATTAATTTCGTCCAATTATGTGACTAATTCATTAATTATAAACGAGCCTGCAGCTGTCGCGTTATTTTCATTAGCTGCAAAAATTACTTCCTCAACGCCTATATAAATTATGCTTTTTGGTAGAGTTTAATTTTTTTACACTTCTTCCCGTTGGTCCCGACGAAAAATATTCAACGCTACAAACTATTAACACTGAAAACACGAAAGTTGATTCCTTAATTTCCCATACGGCATCAAATGACTGTGAAGATAGCATTAATAAGCAAAAAGAGTCCGAAGTAGCCATGACTACAGATCAATATTACTTTCGTTTGAATTAAAGTGAAGGAAAACTTGTGAAGAGCAATAACAAGAACTGGTCATATCCACTAGCAAATATTCAGACAAACAGAAAATGTCGGAAATGAATTATCATGTTTACATCGTAAACACATTCGTATTCTTATTCAGTTTTACGATTCATTTCCCCCTATTGAATAAATATTTACAAGTTATTTTCTTTTAAAATCTTACCCGAGGCCATTCAATATATCTATGCAAAAACCAATTTTACCGCCGGTTTCGTTGCATGGGTTTGTTGACATTTTCATTAGAGAAATGCACTTAAAAAAAGACTCGGCATAAGTAGTTTTTCCGTTTATTCTATGCGAAAATCTGAAGTCAACTTTACGAGGAAATTACCGAAATAAAAAGACCGCCGTTAGGGGGTTTGATTTCCCCGACATTATTCAGCGACGCCATTTTGTTTTAGCAAAGCAAGGCGGGAAATCCAGTTGTTTCTGTAAAGGTGCGGCAAAAGTAATTTCAGGGAATATTTTAGCGCCATCAAAAACCTGCGAAGATCATATTTAATTGTGTTTTAGAAACTGTACCCTTGAGATATCCAGCTCCGTAATTTGGATTTTTTTAGTGCTAATCCTTCGGCATGTCCTTCAGTAATATTTTAATTCCTCCCGATTGTTATTTTTTGTTAAAAATTAAAAACGACATTAAGCGAATATCAGAGAAAGGAGACCGGCGTTTTTAATTAACTATTTCAACCCATTTCCAATAAGTTTGCGTTTTTAAACTTGAATGATAATAAAATCTAATTTTTTAGATTATCTGAAGTAAGCCGATTTTAAACTTTTGCAAAAATTATATAGCAAGTCGCCTTTAAAACTGTTATTAGTAAAATATGACGGTAAATTGAGCTCATTTGCATATAACAAAATGTTTTTATTACTGCTTGGGTATGACTAATAGTAATAGCAATGACCCCCCTCATTGCAATTGATACTGTTTCCTAATATAGTAACACTATAGAGACACCAAAAAAGGGACCGATAGACTCGTATGCAGTCAGCGTGGTGTCTTTCATCTTCTACTTAGAAGAGACTGTTGTTTATAATTAAGCTTAACGTGAGGGGATATTTTACTTGCAAATAACTAAAAACTCAGTGGAGGTTTGTCATTTCACGTTGAGAAAAGGAAGAAATATTCTTTCGTATATCTAATTTGGAATTGTAAAAACAAAAGTAGCTCTATGGGTAAGCCTTACTTTCGCATGTTTCGATGAATGAGGTTCTTCGAGAACTTTCCAAACACGTGGTTGAAGGCGTGTCCACCACGTGGTGAAACCTTCGTCTGCAAGTTCGACATTGCAATGTTTTGGTGTAGATGTCGGCGGTTCAACCTGATCAAAAATTGGCAGTTTGAAGTATTTGAGTTTTTCTTGCTTGTCTTTGTGTTGTTTGTAAACTTCCCAACAGCACGTTTCAACCTGTATGATAGTAAACAAGAAACACTTACTTTAAACTAAAGCTACGTATCAAAAATATAAATATTAACAACATTAATGTGATATACAACAGGCAACTATGGTTTCATGATTTGTATATGGCAGAACGTTTACAGTTTACAGTATGCATTTGAGATGTAATTATACATTTTTAGCGGTTCATGTTATTCGTATTAAGCACGCGTGTGTTTTCAAAGCCAATGGTGCGATACTTAATATTTTATACAATATCACTACATTTCGCAATGTTAAAAGTTCCAAAAATTAAACTGATGCATATGTTTTTTTACTTCACTTTGAAAATTGGAATTTGAAGACTCTTAAAAAATCAATATTTTGATTGGCAAGCTAGACAGACTCCAATTTGTCTAGAAAGCTCATTTCGCAGCAGCGCCAATAATTATCAGAATATATACAATGTCATAACAGACAAATCCATCAATTTAATAAGCTTTTGGATCGCATAAGCTCTTTAGTCCTATAAATTTCAATTATTAGTTAAAAGCAGCCATTTGCCTATCGACAAGATCGCCGCCATCTTGAAATCTATTCAGAGGATGATGATGATGTTGTTGTGCAGGAATAATAAACTAATGATGATGATGATGATGAGAGAGACATTCACAGAGCATTTGTTAGATTGAAATCACTCATAATCCCCTTGTATTTATCTCTTTATGCTATTTGGTGCAATTTAGTTAATGGTATTCTTAGAGAATCAAAGGATGCTGTACTTCAGTTTCAAATTCACTGGCGAAATTTGTGTTTTAATCTTGTACAATTTTCGCGGATTAAATGCGTTTACTTTTGTACAGAAACTGAAATAGAATACTAGCATTAATTAATCTTATTAGTATTCAGTCCGCCCTTTCCCTGAACAAGAATTCATTCCCTAGGGCTCCGCGCTTGTAGCTTGTGACAAAAAATATAAAGGTAGAAATGTGACCCAAATGATAAATGCTAATTGGATGTCGTGAATTATTAATGAATGTGGTATATTTATATGAAATTTTCGTAAGATTATACACTTTTTTCAATTTTAATTAAAAGTTTCCACACATACTGAAAGACACTGAAATATGAGGCCGAAAAGTTTTGTGGGTACGTAGTTTTTGATCACTGAAAACTCGTCACACTCACTCAACGACTTGGCTATGAGAGCGGCCCTGTTTACTGGTCTATTTTGTCAAATGCCTATTATTGTCGTTATTTTGGTGGATTTGAGTCAAACCGACCAACGCGTATTTAAACGCAAGTTTATCCCAAGATTCTTTCTGGGTTTAGTTTTCATCTTTTTGACATGACAAGTGCTATTGAAATAGGTACGCTCAGACCGAAAATACAACTAAGCTAGTTGTTTACCCAAAAAATAATGGAAGTAATATAATATTTTCGGCAAGTTTTGTGTTGTTGAAACTATTATTCGAATGGGCAGTACAGAACAAAATTGATTTTGGTTCTAACAACGAATTAACGACATCATTCCAGCTGTGTGGATGATAAGCCTTTTGACGTGAATTCGCCTTTCAATTCCTGCTCAAGCTGGCAAAGCAATTTTCCCTCGACCACCGCTTCCCTTTGTCAATACTATTCTTCGCTTTGATAAAAACATTTCTGCCAATCTAGAGATGATTTTTGTGCAAGTATTATCTCCCTGCTGTTCTGTTTGTTCTTTGGCTTTTAATCACTAAAAAAAAAACCATAAACAACTCTATTTCTAGAGGTTTATCGCTAGAGGAACAGGATAGATAAGAAAGAAAGTACTTTCAACAATCCGTAAAGTAAACCAACTGCAATTTAATGAGCAGGGTTGTTAAATAAATGCACAATCGTTTACCGATCTTCTCAGTCAACGCGTAGGAGTAACCGGCGCGTCTTTCATTTTTCTTTTGCATTTCGATTAATGAGTGTTCGAGATCTAATTTCCAGCCTTTTTTCTAGAGAAATACCTTTATTGATTGGAGTGCAACATGGGTATATCAACAAATTGGTATTATTGTTATTACGATGATAATTTGCAGGTGAAAATCGCCTGAAACAATCTCATTTTGTCGGAACTAGGATAGTAACATGATACAATGAGATGTTCACTTTTTTTGCTCAAAAAAGCGAAGAATTAATTGAGGTTCTATATGAATATGTCATATGCATGTGGTGACGCACAGCTCCGTCAGAAAGAGACTTGTGACAATACAGTAATACAGGAAGAATAAACCTATGTTACTTCAAAGCAAGGACAGACAATATTGACTTGAAATGTTTGCAGAAGATGAAATGTAAGCGCATTTTAGATAATTGATCCTTATAATGGCCCAAAACCAGTTCAAAACAGGTTTATACGAGCCTTTGAGCGCCGTCATTTATAAACTGCCGAGAACTCTTGTAAGGTCTTATTTTAGATAATAGTCACTCGGTTGTTACCGAAAAGTTCTCGAAATTAAGTAGATGTGGCCTACTTGGGGAAGCAAAGGAACTCCTACATTTCGCGCATTTTCTTATCAACATTTGTATGGCTAAGCGGAAATACAACCAGAGGCAATTAATTGATCTAGCTTTATTATAGTCAAGAGAAAATCGCCAAATAGCAATTCGCACTTCGTAACTGTAGATCGCACAATTATCATTTTATCTGGGAATATCGCGACGCCAATAATAAAATTCTAAAATCTTGTTTTGTCTATGAAATACTTGAAGAACTGAAAGCGAACAGTTTGTGACGAAGTTAGCACTAAGTATTTATCATGAAACGTAATACTTGATTATGAACTCAAAAAATAGAACTTTTTTATTTCGCTTATATTCAAGAACTGTGAACAACGCAATATCCAGGCAATGTTTTCAATACAGGGGAAACTCAAAAGATTTTGTTTTCGTTGAATGAAGCAATTTGTTTTCAATAGTGAGAGATTTGGCGCTATCGTCTTTGTTCAAGTACTGTGTGAGATAGGCAAACTTTTGGAGGGCATGAATATTTAATATGAAGTTAGCGAGTTTTGGTGTTTAATTTCGTAATTAAGAGCTTGTGCTTTGGGTTATTTTGAAATATAGAACTACATATATTGTTAAGGAATAAATAAATAAAAAGCGGAAGAGTCGAAGACATGATGCAGCTCTTTCGGTGTACTTTCTAAAGCCAAGCTAGAAATACAGTTAGGTCTTTTCCATTTAATATCTCTCTTATTAACATAATTATAAGACAGAAAAAAAAAAAACTAGCCAATCATATATCCATATTATTACATTGGACAATATCATTTGGAATTCTAAGAAGCAGCCGCTAAGTTTTTCCAAATGATGAATATTTCAAATGGGAAATGAGAAATTTATTCTTCACATTAATATGCTGTTTAATGTTGAGATTATCCCTACCTCTTGTTCGTCAATTCCCCAGAATTCCAGCTCTTGTTCAAAAAGAGGTCCGCATATGTCGTTTGGACAGTGAAGTTTCCCTGTTCGATAATAGTTCAATATATGAGTGAATACTCCTGGATGGCGGTCAAAGAAATACTCGTCGGCTGAAGAGTCGAATTCAAAAGCTTTAGTTGTTCCCCGATGATGTTCAAACAGGTTGTAAAGTCTTGTATCTGGGATAGTTCTTAATGTGCTTAAATATGTCTCGTGCCGGATTCCACCGACATTCAGAATTATTTTGCTAGAGGACTTGTGTTTCTTCCCTCGCGAGTTCGGCATGCCACCACAACAACTTCCAACCCAACGACAATCTACACAGAGGAAAAAAAAGAAAACAAAATCAATTGAAAACAACGAATAGAAAAGTATAATGGAGAAATCTTGCTTTACATCTTATCAAACTAATAAATGGTAATGGCTGCCCTTCATTTTGCCCACCTCTAAAATCACCTACAACTGTTTTCTGTGAATTTTATCGGCAAATGGTGCGGAAGTTTCTTTCCCAACTGGTAGAAAACACGATAATGGCCTGTTTCAGCTGCGTAGCTTCCAAAATACACGTTGATAACTCAGTTCAGACACGAGTACAGTGCGAACAAGTCCGAATGATGTACTCATTGGAACATGCAGTGTCATAACTGACAATAGATATTCGTTTGGATCCAACCACCTGGCGTTAGGGGCGAATAAACTGAACTATAAAATGGCGTGTGTTCCGAGTCGAAGATTGTTAAATTAACACAAATATACGAATTACCGAAAGCAAACTAAAGTCAATGAGTTAGAGAGACAAAATGCAAATAGAAAGTCACAAACACGTGATGATAATTGTTAATTGTTTGTTCCTAATAACGTAGGATATDAAAACGCTAGTGATTGCTAATAGAAAATTCAGAGAGTGCAATGTTTCGCGTGTTCATCATTGGATGGAATCTTCCAATCAATTGATTTTTGCATACACTGTTATTGTGGAATGATAAGGTTTTTTGGAGAACCGATCCTGTTAATTAAAAACACACGTTTTAAATGAATCTATGTGTACTCATGCTCGGTCAGGAGTTATCTGGGTATCACCTGCATTTAAAAGCAATAATAAACCTTAAAATACAATTCCACGATATCTTTTGTTTTTATTAAGAAAACAATTGTTGCTGGCACTGAAAGAATATGTTTCTTTTTACTTTTTGTCTGTTTTCTTCACTGGCAAATCTTAATTAATTCAATAAAACATCGTTTAGGATAGATAGTTGCTACAGTAAGCATTTTATCAACATGACTGTATCTTCCGCGAAAGTTTCCGATAGTTTTCGAGATCTTTCGTTTCCGTCTTCGCAAACTGACATAAATTAAAACTAATATTTTTGAAAGGTGTATTTTCCTTATTACTTGACATATTCATTAAAAAAGCTATTGTAATATAAGTCGCCAGTTAACTGGGAGGTATAATAAGTGTAAAGAGAATTTCATTTTCGTGATTGACGTGACCTTGCGAACAAAAATTAACGGTGTGACAAAACGTCTATTTGTGCAATTTACGCCTGAAGCAAGTCATCTTCCTACTACAGGTGGAATTAGTCATTTCTTAAACATTTAACATATATTTTACTGCGTTTGTGCAGTTGGAATACAAATCATTTGCTTGTTTTGCTTCCTTCTTTAATGAAATTTCTGAACTCGTGAAGTCGCATCATATCTACCTTGTGAGATAAGTCTTATACAGCTTCCTTAATGAGGGAGAGCCAGACTTGTTTACAAGACTATTTTAATTTAGTTATGAACAATGCCAGAGTAACAAGCTTTCTCATCATATTGTAAACATACTCTATGTCTTCTGCGCACTGTTTTTTTTCTATTGTTGCAATTTCATTGAGATCAGATAAGTGAATACTTTTTTATCGTTTTTTCGGGACCTGGCTGTGAGTTAAATAAAGATATATCATTGAATCAGATTGTATGTTTCTATTTATCAATTATTAATCGAAATGGTAATGGCAATAAATGCTCCCTCATTTGCAAGATAAAAAATTCATGCTTTGCTTTTAGTATTTTTTTTCATATCATTCACTCTTTAAATAATGGTTTTTAACCTTAAAATTAAAGATCTGAAGATGTTGTTTACCGAATTTTGAAATTCTTCACAAAGATGTATAGTGCTCTATAGTATAGAGTGGACGTTTGCGCTTGCAATTTACGTCTTGCCCTACGCGTATGAACGCAAGGTAGACGCGATAACGTAAATATTCAAAACTGGATTAAGTCATCATCAGCTTTGGTCCTTTTTCCTTGTTTGGTAAGATTCGTTTTTTCTTTGAGATACCGAATAGGTTTGACCAAAGTAATATTTAAAGTCACCTTGCGTCAGCTGGTTTTGCGGACAGCAAGTTTCGCATATTGCCCAGACCGATCTTTGGGCATACTTGAGTGGGCAGCCATCTCATTAAATGTTCTTCTAAATTATCAACAATACAGATGACGTTTATTTCGCAAAGTACCTTCGTTAATTCTTTGTAGTTTTTATAAGAAATCCGACATCTTGCTATCAATACCCGTGATGCACTTCGTCACAAATCAATATGGCGTCACAAGTGTAGAAGACCGTTTGATTTTTTGAATAAACTAATTTATGGTTGAATTCTTCAACTATTTTTATAAAATATATTTTCACTTTATCATAATCCTGAAGATTTTCGTTCCTTTCAGCTAATTAATTTGTAAAAGTGTGGAAAACCAGATCATTGCAGAGTTGAACTCAAATCACATGTAGACTCGAGAACTGCATTGAGACCGAGAGAATAACACTGTATGTTTAACTACTTGGCCAACCTTGCTCATTTGCTGCCTAAATATCTATCAACTCAATCGTATTTGCCTTAATTTATGTCACTTAGCTGTTAAAGCTAAAGAAAAAGCTTTCAATGATCACCGAAGGCAAACACTTCACTCAAGAGGCATCAAAACAACTTTTTGAAGCGATGAATTCATTCTTTAGTGATAATTCACTTGAGCTGTTAACCTATTCAAAGTTGTCCATTTGAGTCACATGACGGAATATAGATTCAATGCCAAGTTTTGATATATAAATTTATCAAAGATATGTACCGCATTTGTTACACAATATGAATACACATTTGAAGTTTGATACCTATCAATGTTTGTCCAGCTCCTGATATATATAATGATTTTCCTAATTCGTCTGCTCTGTGAGATATGAGTTGTTTTTGTGATTATATCATATATAATCCTTAATCATTAAACATACACTATAAAATGCCTTTCTTCTTTTGAGGTTCACTAAAGATTAGAGAAAACTCCTCGGAACTCCGCTAAGTATTGTATTCTAACAGGAAGGGAAGGTCTGGTTTCGCATTTCATTTAACATACTACGAACATTTGGAAAATAAATTGAATACATTAATTTATTTGGTGATAATGATATTTGAACTTATTCCTGAAAACTGTGCGAAGAGGAAATTAAAGATAACTTCACTGATTCGATGACCAGAAAAAAAAAACTATCCAAACCACGTGACCAATTTGTTGCACACAGCAAAATGACAGCTTTTAATGTTGTATGATACCTTGTTTAGCATGTTAAAAGATATCTACAGTGTAGCTAAGCTGCAGCACTTAAAAATGCCTCATGGCCCAATTCATGCAGGTGATTGGCACACGAGACATACACCTACTTGCGAAAACGTTGTCATAAAAAAATAGGACATTTGTATTTTAGTAAAAAGAAATAAATTATAAAGACAAAAGAAGGTCACTGAGGCTGAACGCTTTTCTTTTGTTTTGTCTTAATTTATTCCTTTTTACTAAATTCGAATGTTCTATTTTCTATGACAACGTTTCTGCAAGTAGGTGTATTCTTATTCAATTTACGATTTAACGATCGAGTAATTTTGAAAAACAGGCCTCGAAGCAAAAAAGAAAGCAGGCAATTCTGAAGTAAAATATCCACTAAAAGTGGGAAATCTTACAACTGTCATCATCCTTTCCTCGAAAGTGACAAAATTAAACGAGTTTTTGAAAAATTATTATAATATCGAAATTCAAGATGGTTAACACATTATGCCGATATTCTTTTGAACGTGTTCTTTTAACCTTGGCAATATTAAATGTATCAGAAGCATTTTTTTTTCTTCTATAGGTTTTGCGCCTTTTTCATCAATACAAATTTTGCTATTTTTTTGAGACGGTTGCAGGGAAATCCCAAGCGGAAGTTCTTTTTTTTAAGTTAAAAAAATCGTAGTAATAAAAATCTTTTCGCCATCTCCCGTCAGTAGAAAGTATAAAAAACCTCAAGCTAAAGTCATATAATTTGTAGTATTTCGGGTAGGCTGATCTCTACATTGTGTCATACTTTGATCCCTGATCTAATTGATCCTTTTTGCAAGATGTGATCTCTGCCGTAGCACAAGAACTTGATTCTTCGTATCGTCTACCCATTATTTACATAGTGTGTATAAATTATAACCACTTTAAACTCTGATAATTTGATAAAAGTAAAAATATTCAAACAAACAAAATTATAAGTGAAGTAAAAATACACTAACCGTTGTTAGATATCATGATATCCATGCCAGTATCTGAATCAAACGGTATACTTTTCCCCGACTCTAACAAGACAGCTAAGCGACTGATCCTTGATGATCGACATGAAATGAGTACCTGCGCGAGCAAACAGTTGCTTTAGAGGTTAGTCGACCCTCCGGCGCTCAATGATCGGCTTTACTTGATTGGCCTTTATTAAGTAGCTGTATTCAATTCCCTGGTTATCGTCATTTGTTATTAACTGTAATCTTTATGCACTTCCGACTATCGAGCGGAGATCAAAGCGTGCAGCGAGAGTATCACGATTTCGTGCACTCGTCGCATGTAAAATGCGACGTGACTACTTTAGCTCTTGTGTGTACTGATAGTGAAAGAAGGGTAAACGTGTTGTTTTGAGCATTGTGACTCAAGAATGCTTATTGCGATCGACATTAAACTGTATACGTTATAGATGAAACAGTTGTATGTGATTTGTATTTATTTATGATCTCATGACAGACGTTTGATTTTGCACGTGCAAGTATATCATGTAAACTGATATCGACCGAAACATCTGTAATGAGATCGCAAATTAAAACAACTACAGTGACATTGTTTGTTCTTGTGGTTGTGGTGGTGGTGGTGGTAAATTTTAGTGTTGTGGCGGTGGTGGTTGTAGTGGTGGTGGTTGTGGTGGTTGTGGTTGTGGCGGTTGTTGTTGCTGTTGTTGTTATTGTTTTATGGAGACGCACCAAGTTATCAACGATATTAGGTCCAAGTATCAAGCCTAGTGTAACACCGTCTAAAGCTATCATAGATATTGCTGTTACTACAATCAATCTTATAATAGTAATAAATGGTCGTAAACACCCTGCACGTTGCGGATATTCGACTATTAGCATGCTATAAACGGATTGTATTTCCCTTCTTGGTGAAAAACACTTAAATTAAAGTATCAAAAATATAAATTTCTAAGTAGTTAACCAAATAGTGCCAAATGAAAAGTCTTAGATCGCCTTAGGATCAAAATTTGGATGTATGAAGATTCGGAAATGATGCTTTTGATTAAAGACGCAACACTGAACAATCACCCTACGCCTCCATAAAAATAATAAAGAAATGAAAACAAGCGCTGCGGTACAATTTTGATACTCTAAACTATTTATTGAAGATTTCATTTCACAAGTCTATATATAAAAAGGTAAACTCGCAAATTAATTTTGATAAATGCGTCATTATTATCAATTTGACGCCTTGTTTCTAAAGCAATCATTTTTTATTGATGTTTTTCGATTTTCTTCTATTGAAAACGATCTAGATGGCTCCGAGTATCCTACAATGAACTTGTCAAAGTTAAACAAGCCGATAAATATTTGATATGAGGAGACTATTAGTTCGATTTTTAACTCCATTTCAGTCTTTTAAAATGCTTATGTTGCGTGACCCTCTTGAGGTAATTTGAAGTAGACTTGTTTAACATGATATATACCCTCGTGATGGAAGTACAACGCCAATATTCCATTGGAAGTCGAATACTCTTGAGTACGATGGAAGTGTACAAAGTACATCATGGAGAAGAGTCTCTCAAATATATCAATGTGAAGACCTACTTTAGTGTCTACAAACGAGATAATAGCATATGAATCACAACCAAAAATTATAAATGAGTGCCTTCGATACTTTGAATCACGACCGCTTGCTCTTTCACTCACTCGCTCACTCACTCACTCTGGCCGACTCTCACCTGTATTAGCTTAAAAATGTACTTTTAGTCACTTTTTGTTTGTTTTTGTTGCAATACCTTCCTATTTTCCTTTGTCTCATTCATTTTTCTGTTTCCCTTTTATTTCTTTCCTTATATACACTTGAACGTCCACCAGCTTTCCCACATTTTTATCTTTTTGTCTCTTCTCTCATGTATTTTCTTCCTCTACACATGACTTTMGATCTATTGTTGTCTTTTCCAGATAAGATCAACTTCATCTATCATGATCGACCCGATCTTAGAAACGGCTTTGTGTTATAGCTTGAAATTCTTCTTCTGCATTTGTTTTTTTTTTTGGCATACAAATAAAATTCTAAATTGCGCACCTATAGTTCGCATTTTCAAGCTTCTTAAGCTACTCGAAAGCCCGTTTTTAAAATGTCTGTAGATTAATATTTTGCGGTTACAAACGCTGTATGCCACATTAGGACAGGACAGACTTTTGTCCATGTTTCCTTACCTGCCGAACATGACATTTTTACGTTTTGTCTTTTATGACATTGCTTATTGTATAAATCAAAAATCATTGTCTAATCAAAAATCACTTAATWTTTGTTGATTTTCATATTTTCTCAATTCTCACTTAACAAATAAAGTGAGATTTAATGCATTTTTATTAGATTTTCTCGTYCAAAAAAGCGAGTTTSACAGGGTATCTGTCATGTACAATGAAAAMCTCCGCCTGGCCATATAACATAAACACATTTTGCGAAGTTATTTGTAATTCTTTATGCAGACGGAAAGTACTCTTGGCAACGCTGTTTGAAATGAAATTATTAAGAGTAGAATTAAATTGTCTGAAGGCATTGGTCATTATTAATTCATGATCACATCAATTTTATTTTTGATGCCATTGATATTCAAAAAAGGTTTTTTTTCTCACAATCTGGAAGCATCAAATATCATTTTATTCTTCGAAACACATTGGCGAAAAAAAGTGAATCTTATCGTGTTGAACTTATTAAAAGGATTAATGCAATGAAAAGCACGATTATGTGTCATTTATTGACAGTCATGTTTGTGTTTTTAGATATGAAAGTTATCTATTTTYTTCACTTCGTGGTGATTTTGATCCAAAATTGCAGCAATCTGTTTTGTCACTACATTTTCCTACATTCAAAAATACCTATTTTAATTAACGTTCAAACTGTCAGGTCCCGAACCACAGCTCGTTTTTCACATCTTAAAAGCTAAAAAACCAKTAAACATAGTTATTTCCATACCTTTTTGTAGAGCAAGYCTTATACTTCAAAGTTAGCCAGTTGTCGGAGTTCGCGAAATAATTATAGTGGTTGTTCTTTATGTATTACTGTTTTGAAGGCTGTCAATTTGCTTAGGCAGGCACGTCTGTTTTTGYTATATTGTCACACATATTAAAACACGAATGTAAATACTGAGTGCGATGATTTTAGCGGATATTGATGTCGTTGAAGTCTGAAGACTGCCGAAATAGAAGAGCGTTTGTGGAATGAACCTGAGTAGTATGGTGTGTGCATATTGTCCGCAACAAACGGAGCCACAGTTGATTAGAGCGCGGTTAAGCTTCAATTTAGTATACCAATAAGATAACCGATTTGATGGAAGGAAAACATTAATATATGTAAATGATTGGAGCGCAACGGCGGCAAGCTGCTGTTGAATTGATGAATGATTTGCACCACAAAGCGGCTTGTAATTTTTAAACGAAGTAAAAATTGAACACA